CCTTCTTAGGAAGCTACTTCAGAATATGCTTCATGAACATAAAGATGTTACCCAAGAAAAGAGAAGGCCTGAGATCCAGGAAGTAGGCTCTAACAGAAGAGAATGTGAACGGTCCCCTGGTGGCTCCAGGTAGAGCCAGGCCACGAGTCCCTAGTGCAGATTGGAGCAGAGATCCTGCTCCCGGGAGGGAGTTACGGTCGAGGGGCTGTGGGGGAGGTTACTGCAAGTTTGACCATGTGGAAAACCATTGCCAGGTGCAGTTTATAGTGCTGTTGATGAAGACTGAGACAAGAAAAATGTCGAAGCGATGAGGGTGCACAGTGTTGCCTTGTTTTTGATTTCATGAGGGGGGAAACTGTTTCTCTCTCACACATGTGTGTGTGTATAGATACATAAAATACACATTAAGAACAAAGTAGGAGAGATCTGCACATAAACACATACATATTTAATATGTAATTTCACTGCGTATATGCCGTTAGCTATAGGTTATTAATAGATGCCTTTCATTAGATTGGGGAATTTCTTTCTGAGTTTGCTAAGAGTTGTTATTTTTAACTTGCATTGATTTAACTTTTTTTAATCATCAAAAATTGTTAATTTTACAGAAGCAGAGATTGATATTCGTTTGAGAGAGGAATTTTCTAAAATGTGTTTTGAAACATTGCTTCAGTTTTCCTTCCGTAATAAAGTCACCACGCCTCAAGAAGGCTACATCTCAAGAATGGCACTCTCGGTGCTTCTGAAGAGGTCCCAGGATGTCCTCCATCGCTACATAGAAGACGAGAGATTAAGTGGCAAGTGTCCTCTTCCAAGGTATAGATTTTATTTTATTATGCATTAATGTCATAATTGTTAATAACAAGTAACACTCTGAAAAGGAAATGTTTTGTAAGTGATCTGAACTAACCTGAGTTTGTTCATACTTTTATAGATCCTGTACTTGATAAATATTCATAGGTTTTGCTGCAGACATATTAAGGTGTTTATTAACAGGGTGCTTTTTCAGACTCTTCAGAGAGGTTAAGTAATGACCTCTGTCATAGGAATGTATGTACCAAATTACCTTTCTGAGTCTCAAAACATTTTTGAATTCCAAAATATATCTTCAAGTGAGGATGTATGGATCGGTACAAGTACATGATGTTATTTCTCTAGAGTAAAAGTCACAGATAAACAGCATTTGAAGGACATCTTTGCTTTGCAGTTATTGGTCATTGCTGGGTTTCCTCTACTTCTGAGCCATATCTTAGTTCTTCTTTTCACCTAATCAGCTTAGTTAAGCCCTGGGAACTACACTGATTGATCTGCCCATGCTGTGTCGGGGGAAGGGGCTCTAGACCTTCCTGGTACACCAGGGCTCATCATAGTTGGGCTGTAAACCAGGCTTGATCAAAGGCTGCATCTGTTTTTTTAATGTGGAAATTAAAGTTGAAGAAAAAGTAAAGGAAAGAAACAGAAAATAACATAAGAAGACAGTTTTCAAAGTCAGGCAAGAGGACCATCATTTTGGTTCCCATCTCATAGGCAGTACTGAGAGGCAGGTCATTGCCCTCAGCCCTGCGCACATTCTTATTTACCTGCAGTCGGTTTGTGGAGTTGGAATTGACCTATCAGAAGATACAGACATTGTAAAGCTTTTGATATGTGTTACTAAATTGCCTACCAGAGATTTGTGCCAATTTATATTCTCCAGGAGTATGCATCAATACCCCTTTTCTCAATTTTTAACATTTTAAAATTATTTGCCAATTTATCATTTATTTTATCTTTTTCTAATTTGATGAATGAAAAAGTCACATAGTAGATTGTCTTTTTTTAAATTACAAATGCTTAGTAGCCATGTGTAGTTCATCTTTTAAGATCCTGTGTAGTTTGATCTAGATTTCTAGAGCACAAATTATAATTTCTCATATTTAAACTTAAGTACGAAAACATTCCAAAGATATATATTGGTAATTTGGTTATGGGCATGGTTGAAAATTCGTTAATCAAAATTGCTTTCTGAAATGTACTAGGAAATACAGTAATAAAGTTGCTTTGAATGTAATATTGTTTATTAGATTATTTATTATAACATTGTTTGACTTCACAGAGCGACTTTATGTTTTAGGTATTTTCTTTTTAACTACTGCCTTTAAATTGAGCCCTATTAATGATTGTCCTCTGAAATTATATCACACTATATGTTTGTTGCAGTATCATTAAATTGTTTTCTAAAAAGCTGCATTGTGACAATGAAATATTTATATTTCTATGCTTACATTTATTTTGCATCCCCTCAAAACAAAAGGAAGGCTTGAAATAGAAAGCTGTCGTAGTACTAAAAAAGTTCTGTGTATAGAATGGTATCCAGATTCCCACCCCTCAGGACAGGGTGGGGGAGAGAGCCCTGCAGAGCAGAGGGGCTTCCCGTCAAGCTGCCCTGGTCGGTCCCTTAGTCCAAGATCATTCTTCATGGCTGACATCTCCAGAGAGTATCACCTTAGGATTGTTTTGAACACTTTCTTGTTTATAATGTTACAAAGTTAAATAAGTACCATTGTAATTTTGAATGTACTTTTAACAGCACAGTGAAATGCATGCCGGGTGGCAATAGTAGTCTTTGTTCCCAGTTAACTCTGGCAAATCTCTTTTAGTATAATTGGTGGTGGTGGTGGGGCTTTTGTGTAGAAATTTTTAAAGTGTGTATTATAAAATGTTTTAATTTTAAGTAGTTACATGAAATATCTTCCAAATAAATTTAGATTTGTACAAGTAGATTGTGCCTCTCCTTTTTTAATTAATAACTTACGGTAAGAACAACTATAAATCTAATTTGTACACTGAAGTACGTATTAATAAAATGATTTTTACTTTTATAAGAATTTAAACCTTACATTAACTTTCCATTGTATCGTGTTCAGTATCCTAACAAGGTACATCTGTTTGTACAAACCTAATTTAAAAAAAACACACATGGCATATTTGTAAATCTTAACAGAAATAATTTGCCATCTCTTTTTTAGGCAGCAAGTAACAGAAATCATATTTGTTTTAAAAGCAGTGAGTACTCTCATTGATTCCTTGAAGAAAACTCAGCCTGAGAATGGTGAGTGCTTAGAA